ACTCAGCTGCATAGCATCTGCCTGTCAAGCACAAGGCCATGAGTTTGATTCTCAGTGCCAACATCAACAACAAAATTCTATCTCTACATAATGTAATACTGCTTGGCTATAAAGGAGGATAATTTACAAATGTTAATAGGAAAATGGGTGCACCTGGCAAATACAATGTTGAATGAAATAAATCAGAAACACAAGCTTAAATACCATATTCTCTCTGTCATTTCAGCAGGGAAACATACCAATAAAGAGCAAAATGAGGGGATAGATCTCTTGCTAATAAGATGTGGTCTAGGAAACTGGGGGAGGGGAATAGAAGAAATAAGGATTGAGCTATTCAATGTGTATAAGCCTAATAACCACAATAAATGTAAATGTTATATGTCAGACATGAATAGTAATAACAATAATAATGAAAATGAGGAAAGGGGGTTTAGAGCTGGAATTAGAAAGATAGGTAGGAAAGGGAAGAGGATTTCTTCAAAAAAGAAACATGCTGAATTATATGCATGTACTTATTTTCCATTAATGTAAACTTCATGTACTAATAAAATTTAAAAAATTTTAAATGGTCAAAAACATAAGCACAACCAGAAAAGAATCTCTTCATGACATATCATAATTAAAGTTCCATGAATTCAACAAAGATAGAAAATAATAAAAAGATGTTAGAGAAAAATAGCTATCAAATCTATTAAAGTAATTGTGGATTTCTCAGCACAAACCCTTAAAGCCAGGAGAGAAAAGCTATTCAAGTCATAAAGAAACCTTGTCAACCAAGACTTTATATCCTGCAAAACTAGACTTCAAAATTGAGAGTGTGGGCCAGGGCAATAGCATGGCAGTCTAAGTCTGGCAAGTGCAAGGTCCCAAGTTTGATCCCAGGTACCACATGCCATGCCAGCTCTGGAACCCCACGTGTGCCCCGCCGCCAACGAGACGGGATATGGTGATGCACACCTGTAAGCTCAGCACTGGGGAGGTTGATACATGAGAATCACAAGAGTCTAGCTGCATAGCAAGACCCTGTACCAAATAAACAAATGAATAAAAGATTTTTAGAAAATTGAGAGAATAAAGACTTTCCACAAGAAAGAAATCCCTATAAGTGATGACCACAAAACTATCACTGCCAGAATACTTAGGAAGGCCTAGACAGAGACAGGGTGGCTGACAGCACCAGAGGGCCCAAGGAATGTATGCATCTAGCTTAGCAGAACAGTGGAAGCAGCACTGGGAAACTAGTGCAATTGCAGAATTCAGTAAACACTTCACACTATTAACGTCAATAGTGATAGTCTCAGTTTCCCATACAAAAGACGCAGACTGGCAGATATGATTTAAGACATAATGCAAACATATATTACCTATATGAGACACCTGGCATCCAAAAGGAAGCAAACAGACTAAAAGTGAGAGAATGGAAAAGTTATGGTCTGTTCAACCAGAGCCCACAAGTAGGAGTAAGTGTCTTCTTTTCAGACACAATAGAGTTCAAGCCAAAGTTAATCAAAAGAAATGGTGGCCACTGTATCCTCTAAAGGGAATAATTGAACAAAAAGAGAAAACAATTGTAAATCACTGTGCATAGCATTCTAATGCACCCAACTTCGTGAAATAAAAACTTAAGAGAATCAATAGATACTAATCCAATGACAGTGGAAGACTTCAATACATCACTGTCTCGATTAGGCCAACACCTCTCCACCCCCCAAACAATTGAAGAAACATCAGAGTTAAACTACACTATTGAACAAATGAACTTAAACATCTACATTACACCCAACAATAGAATATACTTTTTTCTCAGCAGCACATGAAACTTTTTCCACAGTAGGTCACATTTTAGGTCATAAAACGTCTAAATATATACAAAGAATTAAAATAATCCCTTGCATACTGTCATGTGATAGCACAATAAAGCTAGAAATAAACATCAATAAAGCCACAGAAACTACACAAATGCATGAACATAAAATAATATATCATTGAATAATCAGTGGGTCACAGGATAAATCAGGGATAAATAAAGCTGTTCTTAAAATCCAATGACAATTGAAGCACAATGCCCTAAGCCCTGTGGGACACAATGAAAGCAGTTCTTAGAGGAAAGTTTATAGCTATGAATGCACACATAAAAATGATAGAGCCCTTCCAAATAAATAACTTGATGATACATCTGATGGTACTGGAAAACTAAGAGCAATGCAAATGTGAAACGAATAAAAGGAAAGACATGTAATTCGGGACAGAAATTGATGAACGTGAAAACAAAGGATCAATGAGTCAAAGATTTTCTTTTTTGAAAAGATAAGAGATTTAAGGCATGGAGATGGAAACAAAGGAAAGGGGAGTAAAAAGATCAAGATGTGATAGATAGATAGATAGATAGATAGATAGATAGATAGATAGATAGATGATAAATGGACAGACAGACAGGCATAGTTTCCCTACAATGAATGTACTGAATATATATTCAAACATATAATAACAAAAAGGGGGTAATAGAATCATATTTCAGATTTTTTAGTTTAGAAGAGTCGATGTTTTAAATAATTCAGTCTTTAAAATTTATTTATGCACTCAAAGCAGTTGCAGTCAAGTTTCTAGGACTAGAGATGCAGATCGGTGGGAAAGCATTTGCCTAGCACCACAAAAAGCAAATGAAAACAAAGAAAAAAGAAAAAACAAAGGTCCCAGCAACACTTCTTCTGAAAATTGATAAGCTAAGAATGAAATCTGTAAAGATGTTCATAGAATACTATGAAGAAAAAAGTAGTAGCCAGGTCATATTATAAAGACACAATTTCTGAACTAATGTGGTATTGGTACATTAAACAAATGAATAAATTTGTGAATGGAACAAATTATTGTAAGAAACAGGTTTATGTGCAATAATGACAAAGAAGAAAGTATACAATCAATATAAAAGAATTCTTTTTTAAATAGCTCTAATCATATGCATATTATAAAATAATGTTCTCAGAAATAACATAAGAAAATATATTATTGTCTTTGGATTAGGTAAAGAATGCAATGAACACTAGTTCTCAATGTGTTTTTAAATTGGACCTTACACTGAACATTTATATTCAGCAAAAGATACTATTAAGATATTTTTAAAACAGAATTATAGATCGTGATATTATTTTGCAGCATAAATGCTATACAGAATGTTTTCACCTAGAATAGTGAAAGAATTTCTAACAAAGCAATAAGAAAAAAATTGAAAACTTAATGGGAAAAATGGACAAAAAATTCATAAAATACTGTGTCAAAGCCATTTGAAAACATTTGATCACAGTAATCAGGAAAATTGAGGCTGAAGTCGCAAAGGGATAGAAACGGGTACCTGAATGTACACTGCAATGAGTGCTAATGGGAATGACTGACTCACATTAAGGTAATGTGTAAGGGCTCTGGGTCTCTCCTGAGATGCCAGCAGTCAAGTCAATCAATAGAAACCCCATTTGACATTTCTGCCCCTTTTGAGAAGCCAGGAAGATTAATAGCTAACTCACCATCAAAACACAGGAGGCCTGAAAGCAATACAAAGACTTAGTCAAAGTGCTGAAAAACTAGGAATATGAATTTTAATCCTGCAGAACTGTCTTTCAAAAACACTGTGCTAAAACACATTTTTAAAGACAAAAATTAGTAAAGTGAGTGAACTCATTACTAGCAGACATTATGGACATTATGAGAAATACTAAAGAAGTTTCTTCAGTCTGAGCACAAGTGATCACTGACAGTAACCTGAATCCAAATACAAGAATAAGAGAATAAATAAAAGGAATTGCTTAATTACAAAGGACTGTACAAGTGTGTGTTTAGTTTGCTTTCTTAACTTAAAAGGCAATTGTACAAATGTGTGTAACAGAATTGTGTTGCTACCTATGCAGTACAGGAGACTTCACTGAGGCAGCACAAAGGACACAGGTGGGAGCAGTAGTGTACTGGGGTGAGATAATGACAAGAAACAGTAGATGCCCAGGAACAAACAGCCAGGCTTTAAGGAAGTTTTATGATTCTTTCTCGTCTCATTTTTATTAAAAGTCATAGTGTTACATAACATAACATCAATTTATAGCAATGTCTTCAATATTTATAGATGTAATGTGTATAACAATAGTATAAATGTAGCAATGGAATATAAGTATATGTGTAACATTTCCCTATTTCACTGGAATTTAATTAATTTAATGTAGATTCTAAAGTTTAATATGTTTACAACACAACCCCATTGATATGCTAAAACAGTCATGCCATGGACACTTTAAATTGGCAAAGTGTATAACATCATTTTTTATAAATAGCTCAGTGAAACTATCTGGAAAGCATTTTTTTACAGAACTAATGCCAAGAATATATCATGAAGTAGGAAAACTGACTCATCAGATACGCTTCAGCACCAACCTGGTACCTCTCTCTCTCTCTCTCTCTCTCTCTCTCTCTCTCTCTCTCTCCCTCCCTCCCTCCACACAAATACTTTTGGTCTCTTTCAAACAAACACATACCTAGATATACAACTACTTTCTCTTAATTTAATGAGAAGAAAGATTTGTACTAATAGTGTTGGGACAGGATATCATGTCTCCATCTTGTATTATGAATAACTATGAAGACAACAATATGCAATGTATTCATTATTGAACTGTCCTATTAACCTGTTTTGAAACTGTCTCATTGCTATTTATTTCTCAATGAAACTAATAAAAAAATAAATAAGTGACAAAAAACTGTAAACTCAGTAGACAATGACTTCTGAGCAGTTTCTATAAGCATATCGAAGTGCTGAAGGAAACTATTCTTACAAAAGATATGAAAGGTATTATAAAAGATAGGAAACAGATACATAAATAAGAAGAAATATTTTACTAAGGACCACATGGAGAAAATGGTGTCGAAATGTACAAAAATGGCAAGTTTGTATACAAACATAAACTTCATATTCCTGTGTTGGGAGTACCTTACTGTTTTTTTAAATTTATTTATTTCCATAGAAAACGATGTACAACACTTAAGAGATGCTTTTGGCCAACACTTGCAGAAGGATGAATCTGAGACACCCTCACCCTCTCTTCCTGGTAAGAAAAAAAATTTTCAAGTTTAATATTTCTTATTTATTTACATTCTTTGGAGTTTATTTGAATTTGTACCTTTAATAACAACATTACTTTTGTTATTATGAAATGGACAAAAGGCCTCATGAGTTTCCTTCTAAAATTGTATGCTGATATTTATCAGAAACAAAATTAGCTTTATATCATTGCTTTTAGAATTCACTCAGCAAGCAATACAGAAAATCAAATGATCTAATTAGTTTAGAATGTTACTTGGAAACTGTATCTATTCCTTCTTTAGTTGCTTGAATCTGCAAAATCAGAACAGCTGGCTGGTAGGTAAGGGAGAAAGTGGAAAATGACAGTTATTTCACTATCAATTCTCTATGCACTTTGAATGTTAGACAGTAACAGCATGGAAGATGCAGAGTCCTTTAGTTATATTGGTATAGTTCAGATACTGCACTGATACCTTTAGTCAGGTATTAGGCAAGCCATTCCTTGATATCTCTCTGGTGTGATACTGAAAGATATAGACAGCTTAAGAGAGAAATGAGGGAAAGAGACACCAAAGGAGAACCCCGCTAGAACTATTATCATGCAGTAGTACTCGTGTTGTGCATGGTAGTGCACACCTGCAATCCCAGCTACTAGAGGGGCTGAGGTAGGATGGTCCTGAGTTCAAGACCAGCCTGGACTACACAGCAAGACCCTGTCTTAAAAAATAAAGTGATTATGTGCATGCCTTAGTCTGTTCTAATATAGAGGACCAGAATTAGAAGTTTCACACTGCATGGTAAGAGACATAAGTAAAATAACCCTAGCCAAATCATTAACAAATACAAAGGCAAACTAACAACATAGCCCCAGAAGAAGAGAAAATCAATGTTATAATATATACCTAACATGCATGATTTTTCACATAAGTATGTGAGTCATTCAAAGAAGCAGTAGAGTATGGCGCCTCTAGAGGAAGAAAGCAGGCAGCAGGATGGCTTGCAAGGGTACCAGTGTAAACTCAGTAGACAATGACTCCTGAGCAGTCTCTATAAGCATATATCTTTTGTAAGAACAGAAAACTATTCTTACAAAAGAGATGGAAGGTATTATAAAAGATCTAATCAGATAGAAAACAGTTACATAAATAAGAGGAAATATTTTATTAAGGACCACATGGAAAAAATGGTGTTGAAAAGTACAAAAATGGCAAGAAAAGGTCACTAGAGGATGAATTTTTCTCTTTTTATGTTTTATGAGGGTTTTTTCTCCTTACAAGTTCTCTTGTTTTTTTGTGAAGCTTGTCTTCTGCTTTGGTCTCTTACCCAGTGTATGAAATGCACAGGGTCCTCTGGGAACTCTATAAGGATGGACTTAGTACTGAAGTTTTTCCAATGTATATTGTGCCCATGATTTATTTCCTCAGCAAGCGAGTTCAAGTGGGTGAACCCTTCTCTTGATTCTCTCTCCTGATTTCCTTGACAATTGTCTAACCAATTTTCACATTCAAGAGCCGTTGCCAAGGCGGAGTCCTAGACGCAACTTCTTCTTGTTAGTCTCTCCATTATTACATCCTGAAGTGATCTGTCCTTGGACAAAGCTTGTATTGAAGTTGAGTCATTGCTGTCAGGTATAATTCCTGTGTCTGAATATCTGTGTTTAGGAGCCATCACGTTTTTCAGTTCTTTATAAATTGAAGAGAGAAAACCTTCATCTGGGTGCTTATTAGTTAATATTTTTCCAAATTTGTGGTTGTCTTTGGCCCTAGCCCTTCAAGGTCAGTGAGGACTCAGGACATATGACAACCTGTACTGTAACATCCAGTACATTTGGGACATCAGTGGTGTCCCAAATTTTCTGTTCAAAGAGATTATGGGGCCACAGAGGAAAGTGATCAATAATGTACAATGTGCCTAAGGAGAGTCACATGGAGAGAAAACATTCTCTCAGGCTTTTACAGAGAGCAAAGTGATCAAGCAATGGCTGTCACTCATCCAAATGGCTGACACTGACAAAAGATCTACAAACTGCAGTACAGGGCTTCAGGGTAAATCCTGAGAGGATTTCACTGACCTTGTTAGACACCAAAGTTACACTTTTTGTTATATAGGTCTTGCTTTATCTTGGTCTTAGCCATCCAGCAGAAAAGTATAAAAATGAGGTACAAAAAGTAAAGCCATATTAATATGCTGAGCTGTAAAAGGCTCAAGTCAACAACTTCTGACATTGCCAGTTCTGTGGCTAACCCACTACTATTATGGAATACTGGACTATATTGGTGAATTCACACACGTACAATATTTGAATGGCAGTGGAATACCCATCTCTGACAGAACTAAACAAAAAAGGGGGATATAAATGAAGGACCATTTTGTAGTAGAAAAAATATGTATCTGTATATACAAAATAGTTAGGGTAGATATACAGCTACATTATCTTAGTTCAATGAGAGGAAAGATTTGTACTAATAGTGTTTAGACAAGATATCATGTCTGCATCTTGTACTATGAATAACTACTATGAAGACAATAATATGCAATGTATTAATTATTGTAAGTGTCCTACTAACTTGTTTTGAAACTGTCCCATTGCTGTTTCTTTCTCAATAAAATTAATTTTAAAAAAACACTAAAGAGCACAGAGAAAAATGGACAAAAAGGACATTTGAAGGAGTAATAGCTGAAGATTTCAAAAATACTCAATGATAAATATAAATATATACATCAGAAGCTAATGAAATCAAAGAAAATAAGCACAAAGAAATCCCCTACCAAATCTATCAGTAAAAAATGCTCTGACACAAATACAGAGAAAATCTTAAATGCAGCAGGGATAAAAATACAGCACCCTGTAACTGGGACCTGAGACTGTTTGGCAGGGTTCTCCAGAGATGACTAATAGGGCACATTACATTTAGATTAAATATAGTTATGTAAAGGGAATGCATTAGGAGAATTAGTTTGCACATAGAGGAATCTCACAGTAGGCTATCTGCAAAACAGAGGCCCTGGGGAGTTGATAGAATGGCTCAGTTCAAATTAATGGGCCTGAGCATGTGGCATTCTAAGGTCTGAGAGCAGAAGACTGTATCCCAATTCTAAAAGAAAAAGAAGCAAGAAACCAATTCAACATTGTTCCATATTTTTGTTCTACCAGGATGCCGGCCAATCTGATGGTGTTAAAGCTGGGGAGATAGCTCAGTGGCATAAGCTCCTACCTGACAAGTGCAAGGTTCTGAGTTCGATCCCTGTAACAAAAAAAAAAGTCTCAAGGCTGGACAGATAGCTCAGCGCACTAAAGCATCTGCTTAGGCAGAGCTCAGCAGCTGGATTCGATCCCAGACTGCCGTGCTGGCCCTGCTTCTGGGGTGTGCTGAGACAGCAATTGAGACTGGGCCCAGTGGCATGTGCCTGTAATCCCAGCACTTGGGAGGCTGAAAACAGCAGAATCACTATGAGGCAGATCTACATAGTGAGACCCCATAGACCCTGTACTAAATACCAAAAAAAAAAAAAAAAGGTCTCCCAATTTGGTGGTACTTTCATCAAGGACAGCTCTCATACTTCTTCCATTCACACTAGCATACTAATATCTGCTGGAAATATCCTCATGGACACACCTAGAAATAATACATTGCCAGTTCTCTAGGCATCCTGTAATCCTTGTTGACATCTAAAATTAATCCTGTAAAAGTAAAAGCTGATTTATCAGTGGAAACTATTAAGGCTAAGAATGAAGTATTATATTCTTCCAAAATACTGGAAGAATCCTGTCAAAGACTATCAAATAACATTTGCATATACAGCAAAGTTATATTTCAAAAAAGATGGAATGAAGATATTTCTAAATGAATCAAAGTTTATAGAATTAATTGCTAGCAGGGCTGTTTTCCAAGAAACTGTAAAGATTTGATTTCTCCCAATTTTTTTTTTTCTGTACTGGGGATTGAACTCAGGACCTTGCGCTTGCCAGGCAAGTGCTTATTCTATTGAGCTATCTCACCAGCCCTCTCCCAATTGTTTGAGGCCTACAAAATGAGTATGGGTTGAAGGAAGTCTATAATTCTGAAAGACCATAAAAAAAATATTTCATCACATTCTTTCTCTTGATTGACTTTAAAATCAATTATGTTGAATAATATTTGTATAGTTATGTTGTTGAGTCTTTAAAATATAGCCATGCAGTGCATGGCATCACATTTGATGTTACCATAGAACCAAATGTGAGGGGCCGGCCAGATAGCTCAACAGATTAAAGCGCTTGCAGACCAGGGTTTGATCCCAGGCATGCCATGCCGGCCTCACCCCCAGGACACACTGAGATGGCGAATGAGACTGGTGTGTTGGCGTACGGCTGTAATCCCAGCACTTGGGAGGCTAAATAAAGGAGGATCACTGTGTAGTGCATCTGTGTAGTGAGACCGTGTAGACCCTGCAGTAAATGCATGAGAACCAAAAGTGATGGTTGGGAAAAGTGATGCATTGAAGTAAGAAAATGATAAAGTAACAATACACAAGAACAATGACTGGAACCAGAAATTGTGAGTAAGATTAGCATAGTAAACACTATAGATATAGTCATGCATCACTTCACAACTGGATGCATTCTGAGACATGCATAATTATATTATGACTTTGTCATTGTGATACTGTCAGGGCTGGGCATATAGCCCCTGCCTGGTGTTGCAAGGTCCTCGGTTCAATTCCTGGTACCAAAAAAAAAAAAAAAAGAAAGAAAGAAAAAGAGAGAGACCATCATAGAGTTATATGCAACTTGTTTTTCTACTACACCATTGAGTCTGGTGAAGGTTTCTAAAAAATACAAAATTACATAATGATGGAAATGGACAAGGGACCAATTGCAAGTCTGGTAATGTCACAAATGTAACCATTTGCTTTTGCTATGTGCTAAGTGGACCTCAGAGGGCACTTTTTCTCAATCCACCAAGTAATTGTTCTTTTTATCACTAGCGCCTACATGATTTACATTTGTGTGACCTGAATGGGAAAGAAAACATCCTGAATGAATCAAAGAATTTCAGGATTATAGTATATTCCTGTGACTAAGAAGACCATAGTTTTTGTTTTTGTTTTAGGTACAAAAGACAAGCACATTCCTTTTATTGTTATTAGTGTTTCTTCTAGTGAGTTCCGGCAGTGGCACATCTGATCTTACTCGATTCCACTCTTGGCCATGGTCTGAGCCCTGCACTAGGGAATGCCCTGGTACGTGCCATGCAGTCCTCTCTGGTGTAGAGGCCAGGCTGGCTCTGCTCCCAAATCTTCTTGTTAGGATTTAGCTCCTTGTCAGGCTCTCCAGAAAAAGCATCAGAAGGACTCTGTCTCCAGGAACAGACCCTTCAGGAGGAGCCAGGATTTCAACCTTCTCTAGTCTGGCACACATCACCATTGCCTGAGACAGGACCTGTCTGCCCCCATCTTTGCAGGCTTCAAATCACAAAGCAAAATCACCATCCGATTTTGCATCTGTTCAAGAGGAACATAATTCCCTAGGCCACTGAGGGCTGTTCTTGGGGCTGCATCTCCAACATCTATTTTTCTTCTATATACAGAGAATCTGCAACAGGGTGTTTTTTGGCATTAATGATTCAGCCAATTTGAAGATCCAGATGGGAAGCACTGTTGGCTTGGAGTCAGCACTTCCTGCTGCAGATGGCTTTTTCTCCTTTTCTGCTTTCTTTTCAGTTTTTTCTTTCTCCTTTTCTTCTCCCCCCTTTTATCTGTTCTTTGGCACCAGACAATACAGTTACTGATGTAGACTGTTTGTATTTTCAGCAGTCACAGCGAGTATAAGATGGGCATAGTATTTGTTTCACTCCATTCTGAATTTCGGCTTGAATCGGCTCCTGTTTCTATTCTTTCTTCAGTTTGGCATGTTCAACTCAAAGTTTTTTCTCTAAGTGTTGCCTGCAAAATCACTTTTTCCTTGAGAAGAGTAATTTTCTGTTTAAGATAGTCAATAATTTGATCTGCCTCTGCCCCTTTCACTCCAGTCTCTTCAGAACAGCCTCATTGGTTGTCATTTTTGCCAAAAATTGACAGAAACTCATGAAGTGGCAGACAGTGATTCAAAAGACCATAGTTTTTCATGCTTGAGCTATAGAAAAATGTTATTCTGGCTCAGCATGAAAAGGCATGTCCTATAGAAGGAATTGGATTTTAATATAAATTTGAAAGTTATATTATTATCATGTATCTCGGAAGATTTAAACTTGTAGAGGATCATTCTATAGAAAATTCACCAAATAAGAGTTATATGGCCCGGAGGAAAAGCCTTGCTTTTCCCTAAATATATGTTTTTATTTAGTTATGTAAACATATGTACACATCAATATAAAGTGACTTATATAAATGCTAGCAGTCTTTTCATTCTAAGATTCTGTTAGTCTCCAATACAGACATTTTATTCTAACTCTTATTCTATAAACACAAATGTTTTAACTTACTATCACACATATAATCTAGTATGTAAATAGTTACATATGTGTTTTCTTCTGTTTATTTGTCTAGGAACTAATATAAATCAATTCACTGATGAAGCTGAAAGAAATAAAACAAAGAGTGAATTCAAGACACAACTGAGAAATCTCCCTGGTAAGAACAAGAGTTATTTAAATGTAATATTTCTAGTTAATTTATCTTCTCTGGAATTAACTGTATATAGGTATCCATAGGAATAGTACCTATAATTACTACCATATGAATGAAGTCTTTATCAGTCCCCCTAATAATTAGCTCAACTCTTGTTAAACTAGCAGTGTACAAGTAACTCTGGATATATTTTTTAAACTTGCGTACTTAGAATATAAACCATTAAGAACAATAGTAAAGGGGCCGGGGATCTGGCTCAGTGGAGTAAACACTTCCCTGGCAAGCGCAAGGGCCTGAGTTCAATCCCCAGTTCCAAAAAAAAAAGCAAAATAACCTCAGTGTACTTTGTAGAAGTACAGTATATCCAAAGTTCTTCTATTCACTGTTTCACGATTTTATAGAAATTTTTCTTCTGATCTTGCTAAAGCAGAACAACCATGTAATAGATGTGACAAGAAGAACAATTCAACACACAGTTATTTCTTCGGTCATCAGTTCCCTCCACACAATGAAAATGTCAAGCAAACTGCAACAAAGTCCTTTGTTATATTTTTCAGAGATCATACAAGTGTACTTAGTCTTAGAATTGCCCTGTTAATACATTTTTTCTGATCATTGTTGTAAAACAAAACAAGCAAACAAAAACACACTTTAATAGAGAAATAAAGGGTAGGAACAGTTGAAGAGAGACTTTCTAAAACCACTGTTAGGCAAAGACCAAGTAGATACCCAGGGTTCAGGAGCAAAAAGACCTTACAAATCTGAGGAAAGGAACTTCAGAATACTTCAGCTGAAGCTTTAAAAACATAAACTAGCAAATAAAAACAAGTTCAGAGAAGAGAAAAAGTATATCAGTATCCATATTTGCTACTATATGTCATCTAAAATATCCACATTTCAGCAATAAAAGAGAAACAGAAATAGAAAAAGAGACAGAAAAATAAAAATTGCGAATACAACACAAGAAAGCCAAGTCTAAATCTAATTACAAAGCTCTACATACAATGACATCAAAACATTTACCATAAATATATTCATAGAATTAAAAGAATAAAGGCAATATCTTATAAAGTATATAATATCAACACTGTTGTGTAAAATAACTTTTAAAAGAACCAAATGTAAACTTTAAGTAAAACTCACAGAAGAATACTTGAACTGTCAGGAAAAAGAAGCAATAAACTTAAGACAACGAGAATATTAGAAAGAGGGTACAGAGAGAGAATGGATTAGAAAAAATAAAAGTGATATATACCTGAATATTTTGAAAATATTTGATGAAGAATATACACCTGAGCTGAATGAAACCCATGTAGAAAAACACAAATCTTTAACCAGACGGATCATATTAAAAAGGTCCAATAACAAGAAGAAAATCTTAAACAGTAATAGGAGAAAACTATCCCAGAATGTAAAAGTAAATCTCAATAAAATTATCTGCTGACTTAGCACCAAAAACTGTAGAGCTGACCAGTGGGAGAGGACTTTCCTGGCTCATGCAAGGCCTGGAGTCCGACCCACTGTACCTACCAAAAAGACTGAGAAACCAAGAAGGCAGTGTAAAGGGACAAAACTGCCAAGTAAATCATTACCATTAAAAAACTGGGTGCTTCAAAATACAGGATAAGACAGGGAACACTACATGTGTGTTGTGGATGAACCGAAGACTGCCTGTTCATTTTTTAAATATTATTTTCAGGTCCTTTTTTTATCAAAGGAGGCCAAATTTCACTCAAACGTTTTAAAAACTGTTAAATAAATGAAAACAAAGAGGGAAAAAAAAAGCAAAAAAAGAGATTCCTAAGTAAATATCAATTGAAATATTTCACTTCTAGCAAAACTTTTTCTAAAGAAATACTAATATTTCTTTAGGCTAATAGAAGTTGACCTCTGGTAGTAATGTGAATCACCCACAAAAAAAAAAATCATAGGCAAAATTCTGTAATTCAAATAGACGATATGAATGTACATTTAATTTCATTTCTTCCCTCAAATGATTTCTAAGATGATTTTATAAAAATGCTTATATAATTCTACTGTCAATCATATAAAATGCCTAAAATACACTTCATAATAATAGTACAAAGTTGCAGAGTAGAAAATTAGATGTATTACACTAAAAATAATGATGCTGTCTGCTAACACAAATACAGAGGAATGTACAAGAAGAGCCAAAAATTACAAAGAGGAGGTTAATATGACAAAAATGATAAACACATATCTGGTCTTCTTTGTTTTTCCAAATTATTTAAAAAGAATACAATTATGCAAAATTATGTAAGGAAATAATAAAATTATGGAAGAAAATTATCATAAAAATTACTATAATGTTTTTAACTATTTACAGGGATTATGTGTAACAATGATGTGTGGGACACAGATGAAATTAAACAAGAAATTCAACAATATCTACAATTCAATGAAAATTCAAGCACAACTTACC